AGCTAATGGAAAGACTATTAGATGGTGTGATGTCTAATGGTTTTTGACCTCTCTTAGCCTTCCCCCATGCCTCTGAAATATATTTTGCCTAATAATTTGTTTCCACGGACTGAATCAAGAGCACACAGTGGACTGCTTTGGATCTATAGGATATTAAGATCTGAAGACTTGGTGGAAGTATCATATGGACAGGTTGAGGCATGGGTGCTAAGTTATGAATCAATGTCTATAGCATAAAATATCTAATGACACACCTTGCAATAGGTTTATCTGTTCTTCTTTTAAGAAAGTCCTTTTCCACTCAAGGTTCTTAACTTTCCATCTCTCTTTCTAAAGGAATTTTCAAGGGGTGAGGATAAAACTTCTGTTCATGTTATTTGTCCACCTAGAAAACCCAAAATTAACCACCTTGGGAATTCCCTCAATCAAACCAAATCACCCTGTTGAAGTCATTATGGTACTGGGAAATACTTGACTTTTCCAGTCACTTCTTGAATCTGCCAAAGAGTTTCTTGGTTCCTGCCTAGCAAAAACAAATGATACCATTCTTCTTCATGATTCTTAGCCTAGGTTTGATGCCAAAGATTCTTTTTAATTAGCACATTTTAATTATATATAATAATAGGTTTCATTGTGGCATATTCACACATGTTAAAACATACTATGTATCCTTTATCCATTCATCCTTTGATGGCATATCAAAGAATCTTAACCAGTATCTTTGTTATATTTCAATATTTTCTACATTGCATATATTATAATTCCTCTCTTTTTCTCCTTCAGGTCAGTTTAGTCTTGGACATACCCATGTAAGCTAACACAAAATAATAGGAAAACAGATTATAATCTGTATACTAAAAATTACAATAAATATTCTTTATAATATTTGTTTAAATTGCAATGTTTGTAAAACTTGTTTAAATTGTTGGGGAGTGATATTGGCTAAATTCTATTCTTATATTGTATGCATGTACAAATATGTAATGATATATCCTATTAATACACACAACCATAATGTACCAATAGAAAATGTGGGGGAAAGTAGGGAAATTATCATTTGATAGCTAAGGAAGTGTCTCACTATCTGACTTAACATAAACTCATAAACTCATTTGGGGAATTTAACTAAAGTTTAAATAACAACTCTCACAACTTGATTGAAATTATCTTTAAAATTCTTATATCCTTCAGCACACTATGTTAAAAATTATATTAATGTGACCTTGTGAGCTGACATGGATTATACTTTTGGTTGTTACTTATCACCATGTTAGTAACAATCAAGTTCATCAAAATGAAAATAGTAATTAGCTCTCATTTGGGCATATTGGTTGTTTCTAATATTTTTCTATTTTCAGCATATGATAAACATTGTTCTTATATCATTTTTCACAAACAGCATATATATCTGGAATAAATATCTGGAATTCTCAGGAATGGAATTTGAGGGAAAATATTCCTGGTTTTGATAGAGTGCCAGATTACCAGAGGCTAACGTGAAAAGGAAGTCAATTCTTATTATTGTTAAAAAGGAGTCTTTAATAGAAGAACATGTCACCAGAAGATTATGAAAATGGGAATTCCAGTTTAGTATATGGAGTCAACAGAGTCGGAGCATTTAAGAAACAGAAAATAGTAGACCATAGTCAGTCTGGGAAATACACAAGGTGGAGAATTGAGAAGTCAGAGTATATAAAACCCTTTACACTATCACAGAAATTTTAATCTATTCTAGAACAGTAGTACACTCAAGTAAAGAATTAAATAAAGAAGGGATTAATCTTGCTGGCTTCTAGATAGGGATCAGATTATATCAAGGAAAGAGTGTCAGCAGGAATCTGAATAGGAGGTGATTACAGCAGCTCAGGTACAAAATAATACCTACCTGCACTTGTAATATGGAAGCAGAGATGAAGAAAATAATAGAGATTTATGATACAATTTGGAAGAAACCCCAACAAACCTAATGGGGTTAAAGTTAAGAAAACGAAGTATGTTTTCCCACATCTTTCTCAAAGCTTAGAGAGAAACTATGCTATGTGAAGTTTTTTCCTGTTATCTCAAATTTTGGATCAACACTCAATTCAAAATAAATCACTCTACATGGAGCTGTCTGTCAGAGTGTGATATGAGTGGGGTAGTGTTTAGGGATCATTTGTACAAACTGGACAAACACACATAGACATAAAACCCAGAAGATTGTACTACTGAATGTAAATTCTACACCTGCTATGACATCGTCCCTTACATGATGAACAGAGATACCTTCAGCAGCAAGTCTTAAGAAGGTTCTTCCATTTCTTCTGGAAGGCACAAAATAGAATAAGCAGGTGGCATTTCTAAAGAGCTTAAAGGTCCATTGCAACAAGGAGACAAGTTTATTCTAAACGATTTAGAATGCGCATAGGATATACATTTGTTCACAACTCCTGAGAAATCAGTGTAAACTCTGATTTTCAAACCATGGGGAGGACCTGGGGAGGGGTGGCAATCCCCCATCCCAGATCTAAATTAGAAACCAGTAAGATCTAATTGCTTCGTTGCCTTTGGCTCCCTTGGGGTCAGAGGCTGAAGCAGGCGTAAGAGTTCATCCTTGGAGGAATAATGACAATAACCACAAAACAGGCGTTAGGAACTTGGTGATTCATAATTCTTTTTGTCATCTCAATTGACCTTGGAGAAAGTATGATTAAGATTCTATAACAAGGGTTGGGGATGTGGCTCAAGCGGTAACACACTCATTTGGCATGCACGGGGTGCTGGGTTCAATCCTCAGCACCACATAAAAATAAAATAAAGATGTTGTGTCCACCGAAAACTAAAAAATAAATATTAAAAATTCTCTCTCTCTCTTAAAAAAWTTTTTTAAAAATTAAAAAAGAGAAAAGATTCTATAACAAGCCAAGCTGGAGGTTGAGATTGAGAACAAAAGTTTCTTGCTTTTGACCCTATGCTATTTCAAGAACTTCAGAAAAAATCAAATACTATCACTATGATCAAAAGAATTTAGAACATTAAATATCATCATTATTAATAATGGATTAAAAATGAATAAAATATAGTTTCTATAAATTTCAATCTCTTTCTTAAAAGCATTCTATTCTAGTCTATTCAAGAAATGTACATTTCTAGATACCATGAACATGCACATTTCCTACAATAACATGAAATAATCTTTAATGCTTATTTTTTCACCCAACTTACAAAATCAATCCCTAATCCATTTTTTGTAATCCTAGAATTTCTTCAATTCTGGTAGAAAATGAATATCATGCATTCATTGTTCATGTGAAGATGTTTGAATATTTGTGAATATTGTTATTTTTTTTCTATTTATGTTAAATTCAAGTTTTACTGAGAACTGCTATTCGAATAGAAATGTCCTATAAGATATTTAAACTTCCAGAATGGTTTCTGGCTCCTGTCAATCATGGTTGATCATCTGTTTCCCTTATGTTAATACTCCAGTTAATTTGTCTGTTTTGTAGAAGTCAGGGGTTGACAAAAAAAACTTTTATCTCAAACACAACAATATCATTGACACCTCCCTCTTTTCTGACACTAAAGAATATATATTAAAAAAAAGCTCATGAGATGGCAGATTAGAGGAAGGGTGTACTCCCCAGGAGTACCACAGCAATTCTGTAGCTCAAGAATCTAAAAGTGGGAAAACCGCTCCTCAGCAAGGTGAACGACTAAGAGAATGAACTGAAATCTAATGTTGGACAGAAAAATAATCACAGAGACACAGAAAGTTAGAAACTTTGATCATAACCTAGGAACGGTACTTTACAGATGCACTTCCCACCACTGAGGGGATGGGAAGCACAGAGTGAGAGAAAAGCTTGGTGAGTAAAATTGTCTTGGGAGAACCAGTGGAGTAGAGAGAGGGTTTGATCTGAACTGATACAGAGATGGTGGGAGAAGTTGGGTGAAGAGTATTTCAGTTCACTCCCTGAAGGGCAGATTGTCCAYAGCAGTCAGAGATCCTATGCAGGAACCAGTTTTGAATAACCATGTGACAGTGAGCACAGTGAGTTGTGAGATTAGGAAATCATAGGAAGACACCAGCCTGACCCAGCAGTTGCTGATTGTGGGGTCCAGAGTGTGCCTAGACCTATGTGATTGAAACAACACAGAGAGGACAGTGCTGGGTGGCACTGGGTGGGCATAGTGAGGAGAGAGCCCATCTTGGTGCTGGCATCCCATATGAGCTCTACAAAGATTCCAGTAGCCAGTCTGACAACTAGGTCTGATGTCCAACTCAATGCTCCTCTTCAATGTAGTTTTTGAAACTCTCATCAGAGCAATCAGTCAAGAGAAGCAAATTAAAATGATACAACTATGAAAAGAAGTCAAATTATCATTTGCTGATGGAAATTTCCTGTATCTAGAAAATCCAAATAACTCCACCAGAAGACTTCTAGAGCTGATAAATAATTTCAGTAAAGTAGAAGAATAAATGATGAACATTCATAAATCAATAGCTTTTCTCTACTCCAATTGCAATTCTGCTGAGAAGGAGGATCAGGAAAACTGTCCCATTTACAATAACATCAAAAATAAAATAAAAGACTTGGGAATGAATTTAACCAAGGAAGTCAAAGACCTCTGTAATGAAAACTACAGAATACTGGATAAATAAATTAAAGAAGACCTTAGAAGATGGAAAAACTTCCAAGTTCTTGGGTTAGCAGAATTAATATTGTCAAAATGCTATACAGAGTTAATGTAATCTCCATCAAAATATCAGTGACTTCCTTCACAGAAATAGGGAAAAAACAGTCCTAAAATTCATTTGGAGGAATAAAAGATCCAGAATAATAAAATAAATCTTGAGTAAAAAGAATGATCCTGGAGGCATTACAGATTATACTACAGAGCTATAGTAATAAAAACAGCATTGTATTGTCATTAATATAGACATTAAAACCAATGGAACAGAAGACAGAGACAACTCACATAGTGACAGTCATCTGATACTTAACAAAGATGCCAAAAATATATGTTGCAGGAAAGATAGCCTTTCAACAAATATTGCTGGACAATGAGATTTCCCATGTGGAAGAATGAAACTAGATCCCTGTCCCTAACCCTGCACAAAAGTCAAATCAAAGTTGATCAATGACTTAGAAAACTTGAAATTTACACCAGAAACTCTGCAACTACTAAAAGAAAACCTAAGGTCAATACTCCAACTTTTTGATACAGGTACCAACTTCCTTAACAAGACCTTGAAAGCAAATACAAGAATCAATAAATGGGGTCAGCATAAAATTGAAACCCTTCTGCATAACAAAGGAAATGATAAAGAGCTTGAAGAYAGAGCTTAAGGTGTTGACAAAAGAATCCTCTGACAGAGGATAATATCCAGAATATATTTTAAAAATTCAAAAAGTTTAACGCCCCCCCCAAAATTAATAATAACCTATCAAGAAATGGACAAATGGACTAAATAGACATTGCTCAAAAGATGGGACACAAGCAGCCAACAAGTATAGAGAAAATATTCAATATCCCCCACAATCAAGAAACTATAAATAAAAACTACACTGAGATTTCATCTCAATGCAATCAGAATGACAATTAGAAGAATGCAAATAATAAGAAAGGCTGGTGAGGATGTGGGGGGAAATCGTTGATGGGACTGCAAACTAGTAAAACCATCCTGGAAAGCATTTTGGAGATTCCTCAAAAAACTAGCAATGGAACCACCATATGACTCAGCTATCCCACACCTTGGCATTTATTCAAAGGAACTTAAATCAGCATTCTATAGAAATACAGCCACATCAGTGTTTATAGCAGTGCAACTCACAAGAGCCAAAATATAGATCTAGCCTATGTGATAAATAAGATGGTACATATACACAACAGAGTTTTACTTAGCCATCAAGAAGAACAAAATTATGGCATTTGCAGGTAAATGAGTGGAACTAGAGAATATCATGTTAACTAAAATAAGCCAGATGCAGAAAATCAAGAATTGAATATTTTCTCTTATATGTAGAAGCAAGAGTGTAACAAAGGGGGGTGGGTGTTTAAAATCATAAAGACAGGATAGGTCAGTGAAGTAGAAGGAGATTGAGGGGGAGGGAGAAGGTCTTAGAAATGGAAGAAAATGTGGAATTAATTTGACAAAATTATATCATGTATAAATATGCCAGTGAATTCCACCTTTATGTATGTGCAAAAAGTACTAATTAMAAATAAATGAATGAAGCCAGGTGCGGTGGTTTACACCTGTAATCCCAGTGGCTCAGAAGGCTGAGACAGGAAAATCATGAGTTCAAAGGCAGCCTCAGCAATCAGCGAGGCCCTAAGCAACTCAGGGAAATTCTGTCTCTAAATAAAAYACAAAAAACRACTGAGTATGGGGCTCAGTGGCTGAGGGCCCCGGAGTTCAATCCCCAGTACCAAAATAAATAAATAAATGAATAATTGAGTGGAAGATCGACAAGTAGAAAAGAGGAGGAGGATTAGTGGAGGGAAAAGGAAACCTGGGGAACTGGGGAGTGAGATGGAGTAAGCTAAATTTTATCCATGTATGATTATGTCAAAATGAATCCAACTACACCTTTAGAAAAGAAAACAATAAGTTCGTGACTCTGCTTGGTTTCTCATTTAACAGCATGAGGAAAAGTAGCTCCTTGAATTGACAAATGACATTATTACTTCCCCAGGTACTTAATATCATTACCTGGATGACCTTCATCTATGTCTTCTTCCACAGCAGGTTTCTCTCATCTTTCTGAATTTTATTCAAAACATGCTCTATGCTTTAGCTTGTGATTCAGTAATAGAATGCACTCAAAGGTGCAGCCACAGCAAAATTGAAAAACCGGCTAATAAAATGAACAGGGATTTCAGAAAAACAAACTTCAAATGAGCTAATCCCTACCTACAAAGATGATCAACCTAAAAATTAACCAAAAAGCCATACTGAAACCTCAGTAACAGTCCTTTTTATATCAATGGATTGAAAATTTGTTTTGAAGATTGTCTTTGAAGACAATGGTATGTAGTATTTGGATGTCATAATCATTTTAATATAGAAACAATGTAGTACTATGATTGAGAATTGAAAAACTTACATTGCCATGGATCATGCATTCTAACATCAGTTTAAACCCCAAATATGTCCTTTACATGTACAACTGAAAACAAATAAGCAGATTCACAAGCAACATTGACAATTCTATTAGAAAAGCAGGGGTGGGGGGAAGTTCAGCAATCAATAAGTTGTGATAATTTTACAGAAGAGATACTGTAGTATGACAATTCTATGTCATACTAAATAAATTTTAAAAAATAATAATGGAAGAAAAATGCAAGTCTCCAATAATATGGCAAAACAGAGAAACAAAAATYTTCATATAAATATATTGTTAGAGACTGAATGTTTGTCTCCCTTCCCTATATATTTATATATTGAAGCCCTACCCATGAATGTTGTAATTAATTAAATAATATTAAGGGAAATATCTCTGATAGAAAGACATTATGAGAAGGCAGCTGTGGTATGGTATGGCAGGCAGAGGGTCCTCAACAAGAAACCAAATGAGTTGAAACATTGATCATGTGTTTATAGCCTCATGAACAGTAGAAAAATAAATCTCTATTGTCTTTGTCTAAGCCAACTAGACCATTGTCTAATATTATGATAGCCTCAAGCAAGTAAAGTCATGGTCATAGATATGTGAAATATAAATATATGTTTCAGAGATCAACAAATACATATGGAAATAAATTACAAAACCAAAAATCATAAACACAAAATTTGAAATTTGGACTAGTTATTTCCTCCTGAGAGGAGATGGGAGGGTATCCCTAGAAGTGCATAATAACACGTCCAAAACAATGCTTCTAAAAACCATTTCATGTATTCAATGTCCAAAATCTCTCTGTTGGRGTCAGAAGACAGTATGCTGGAGTGTTTAAAGTCCTGGGTTGAATGCTAGTTGGTATCATAGAGGATGCCTCTGAAGCTGGCTGACTTAGTAAGATGAAAGTTGGCTGCCTGTGGTCTAAGCCAAGAAAGGGGAAGGCTGAGACACGTCATGAACCTCTGCAGCTCCATCAAGCACATCTGCCAAAGAGGTTGTGCCAAGAGAGTGGCATCCAAGTGATATTTGCCAAATTACACTGTTATATTGTGTGCATGTATGAATGTATAACAACAAATTCCTTCATATGTTCAACTATAATTCACCAATAAAAAGGTGGAAAGAAAAAATAAATAAAAGTTATTTAGCTTCATTTAAAGAGGAAGGAAGGAAGGAAGGAAGGAAGGAAGGAAGGAAGGAAGGAAGGAAGGAAGGAAGGAAGGAAGGAAGGAAAGAGCATGCATGCATCACCAACACTGCAGCCACAGCGAGAGCCTCGGGTAGGGAGGGTCAAGCTTTGGAAGCTTCACACATCTACTGAGGGCCTCCTCCAACCCCAGAACCTCTTCTAGGGAGGGCTGAGATCACAGAGAAGCTCACACCTCGGATGCTGGCAGTCACTGCAACTACCTCTGAGAGGGAGAGCCATGCCTGGGAACCAGCATGCACCACCACTGCCTCCCTCCCTTTGTGAGTCTCCACTAGGGAGGGAAAAGACCAGAAAGCAACACGCAACTCTGCACCTTTGTAGGTGCTTTGATAGAGCACAGCTGCCAGAGAGGGCAGGGCCAAGAGATGGCTCAAACATCTGATCCCTGAAGCCACCTCCATAACCTTGTTCAGAGAGAGCCACGCCTGGGGATCTGCATGCATCTGCTGAGGGCTTCTGCCGCACTCAGCACCTGGCACAGGGAGGGACGAGTGGGGGAACAGAGAACATAGCTACCACCATGTCCCAGCTTGCCCTCTACAGCAGACCTCAGCCCTGAACACATCCCTGAGCTCTGCCCTCTTGTGCCCGGCAGCTCCTCTTCACCCCAGGTGCCAGGGCACCCCATGCCTGTACCTGGGGTGAAAACCTAAACAAACCAGTGACCAGCAACAACACTAAAGCAGTAACAAAAAGTCTTCTAACAAAGAAAAGCCCTGGACCAGACGGATTCTCATGAAGTTCTAACAGATCTTTTAAGAAGAACTAATGCCAATCCTCCTCAAATTATTCCATGAAATAAAAGTTTAATTTCTCTCATATGCTTGAATGTATAAGTATTTATGCAATTTTATTTATCTATAACAATGCTTCTAGGGGCTGGGATTGTGGCACAGYGGTAGAGCGCTCGCCTAGCACGGGCAAGACCCAGGTTCGATTCTCAGCACTACATAAAAATAAAGGCATTGTGTTGTGTCCATCTACAAAAAAGATTCATATTCTCATATTCTCTTTCTTTCTCTCTCTCTTTCTCTCTCTCTCTCCTTTAAAAAAAAAAGAAAAGAAACAATGCTTCTAAAAACCATTTCATGTATTCAATGTATTCAGCACAAGCACTCAGTTTTCCTGCCTTTATAGCCAGCAGTAGAAAGGATGAGTCATAGAGTCTACACTACTTTTCAGTCATTTTGCCTCATAAGAGAAGTTATCATAGATTAAAAGTTTTTAAGAGGGTAATAATGCATATTAACAAATTAGGATATGGTATAAGAACCATGTAGACATAACAGCTACATTAGAAACAACTGATACATCTACAAAAATCAGATAWKTTGCAGTTGGCATATCAGAGGAGTGAGGAAAGATTAAACTATAAAATTAATTTTAAATACTTCATTATTAACATTTAAAATGATTAAATGACTTTATACTTCACATTACACTAACAATAATCAACTACATATATTTTACGGATTTTTAAGGCCTAGAAGGAAAGATTTAAAATTTCACGTGAAAATACAACTTACTCTCATTAGGTACATAAGATAAAATGGCCTATGTTTTTATTTTTCATACTTGAGAGATATTTGGTTGAAACAATGACATGATTCACTGGGCAAAGCTACTCCAAAATTCTATCCAGGGATGGAACTGTTCAAGTGCTGTCATAAATGGGTAATGTTGAATGATTATCAAAACATATCTGTAGTGGTATGCTAACTGATGAAATCTAGCTCATTTTCTTGTCACACAGTATTTATTAGGTTGGGTGCCTGTGTTTCATTCAAGGGGCTCAATTGACTCCTATTTTCCATAGACACAAATATCCCCTAGACTCTGAAAATATCTTGCACAACTAAATTGTTCATAAAGCATTGGGTGTGTTGAATTGGGGTTAATATGGAATTGTGCTAGAAGGGATTTCACCAGGATATGTCTACTATATGCAAATGAAAGGCATTTTCTTGAAAAGAAGTCCATTTTTATCAAGACTGTGCTCTTCCTGATGCCATGTCTCTTCCTTAGTGTCTAGAAAACACAATGGTGACCATTGCAAGGTGATTTCCTCAAAGAATCCCATTAAAATCAAGAACACCAACTAAATAGATAAATTAATTACTTTAAGCACATTAAAATTGAGACATTGTTACATATTTTAAAAGTAACAATATTAAAATAGTGGAAGACTTTGCATTATATAGAAAGGACAAAGGATTAATATCCACATTATAGGAAGACTGTCTACAATACAATAAGTAAAAGACAAACCACCTAATAGAAAAGCAAGAGAAGGATATGATCATTTATTTCACATGAAGGAATTTTGTAAATAAAAAGGGTAATGATGGCTGCTGTAATGGTAAAGGGTAGATCTCCTGGAGGGTAGATGGATTTTCATCGTGTGGTAATTCAGGAACCAKGCTCCATTATCTCCAAGCACTGAAGATAATCTGCTTCCCTCCAATAGATAAGTAAATCCATGTGTTTTTCAAAATCTTGACCAGGAAATAACACACATTTTCTTCCACTAGGAACAATGTCACTGAGACCTGGATTAGTTGAAAATGTAGAAGCTCTCTCCTAGTGAAACTTCACAATGGTGAAATTTGAGTGAATAACCAGCTATCTCTGTCSAAAATAGCCAGAAAACATAGAGTCAGATGCTTTATAGCATTGACAATCAGTGAAGTAGAAAATAATTTAATTTGTCATTCATCATACTTGCAGAACATTTTAAAAATCTCTTTATCAATACCACTTGTTTAAGAGGTAAAGTAGTAGGAACTCTGAGGATACAGGTTTAAAATAGTATAATTTTTTWAAAAAGATTTTTAAGATATGTTTTAAATTTATGGAAAAATTGAACAGAAATTGTTCATACAGCTCTTTTCCTAACCCCTAGACACAGTTGCTCTGTTGATATCTTTCCCCCCTCTATTGACATCTTGCTTTGTTGCAACACATTTGTTACAACTGAACCAAAATTGTTACATTATTAACTAAAATCTATAGCTTAYATTAGGATTCATGCTTGGTATTGTACAGTTGTAGTTACTTTCCCTTTGGTTGGTTGTTTCAGCTTTGTTTTTGACTAACACATAGTGACATACACCCACTGCTATACATCAGACAGAATAAATTTTCTACCCTAACATCCTCTCTGCTCTTCCTATTCATCCCTCCTATCCCCTTAGCATTCACTGATCATTTTATTATCTTGATTATTTTGCATTTTCTGTGATGTTATTGTCAGTTACTATGATTTCGTATGTAACTTTTTCAGATAGGCTTCTTAGTGTATCTATTTTGTAGAATAGTGTAGCAGTAATAGTTAAATGAAATAAATGCATATTCTACAATCCCATTATTTTCCTGAGAGTACAAATGACCAGATCTGTTGCACATAACATATTGGGTGCAGGTACAGAAGCTGGATTGTGCAAGAAAATGCAATGGGTACATTTGTATTTCCCACAGACTTTCCAGGTTGGCATAGCAGCAAGCAATCAGAAGGGAAGGGGGTCAAAATGACCCTCATTCAATACACGTTAGAGAATGGTTACTAAGGTCTAGACAATCAATCTCTGACAAGGTACAATGCCCCAGAAAAATGGAAACCAAAGAGAACAATTTTACATTGTATAAAAATTGCTATTTTCTGTTGCAAGTATGTTATACTAGGTAATTACTAATGAGTACAGAGGTGGGCCTTTCCCATGGGAGAAGCATTTCTTACATGATATGAAGTCTCAGGGTAGGTAAAATGGAGTCTGTTTGGTCATTGAACATAGAGCTGGCCCATAATAAAGGATACCAAGTGAAAAGTAAAAATGTGCAGACATGTTTGTGAAAACCTTTCCTGAGACTCTAAGATCCACAAGAAAATTAAACAGAGACAAAAACTAAATTTAAATTGAAACAAGGCTGAATAAAGACTCCCACATCAGGATTCACCAAGAAACAGAAATTCAGAGAGAAAATGATGCATGTAAGGGACTGAGAAGTCTAATATCCATAATAGGAAACAAAATCCCCATCATGCTGAAAATGTTCCTCTACTGAGAAAGTTACTCAGAGCTACTTTCATTTCAATTCCTCAGAGTGTGAATAAAAGGATCCACCATGGGGGTGACCAGAGAGTACAACACAGACACAATGACATATGGTCACTGGCATTATTGGATGAGAACAAAGAAATATAGCCTAATAACTGTTCCATAGTACGGTGAAACCACAGAGATGTGGAAGCCACATGTGGACAAAGTTTTGTAGATCCCTTCGATTAAGGGTCTTCTCAGGATGGTGCCCCCAATGTGGGATAAGAGAAATCAAAATATACATGAATGGCACAGTTTAGATTATCAGTTCTATGCTGAGGATAACTAGCTGATCTGACCTAGACAGCTTAAGTAGAGAAGTCACAGAAGAAGGGGGGAGGCTTAATCACAAGGTTTCTGCATTTGTTTGTAATATTTTTCTATTTCCAAATCAGAATCTGATTTTGAGTATTAAAGGAATAAATCTATGTCAAGGTCATAAAATATCTAGTGACATGTCTTACAACAGACCCATAAGTTTTTCCCCACTAATAAAATTCTTTCATTCAACAATTCAGTCAACATTTTCAATTTTCCATCATTCTTTCTATAATGTAATGTGGAAAAAAATGTACAGTCTCTTTCAAATTCTACATCCTGTATTCCCTCATCTCAAAGCAGATCATTTTTATTCAAGTCATCAGAACACTAGGAACAACAAAGAATTATTTGTAAGTGCCTGTCTAGCATCAACCAAAAAAACCTCTTAATCTCCTCTTGTATGCCACTGATTCTTCACTAATGTTTTTCTTGTCATATTTCTAACACTTTTACCTGATTATTCCTCCATCTTTTTGTGTTGAGTCAGTTGGTCATAGACTTATCCATGTGAACAATCACAAAATAATAGGTAAAGAGAACATGATGATATGTTTACCAAAAATTAGAACCTAAATTCTACACATAGATTAATTTAATCACAATTTTTTAAAAAATAAAAGTGATTCTTTTATTCATTTCTCCATTTGAAAATGAACAAAATGCTCTTTGGTTGGTAAAGAGAACATGACACTCATAATGCAATATCTTCAAAATAGACTCTACTCTCATGTATAACTAAAAAGAATAAATAAAACAATTTTAAAAGAATAACAATAGATTCTCAAGAACATCAGAGAGCTTTCTGAAAGTTACTCAACATCAATCAGAGGAACAAATGCTCAGAGTCGTGGGCTTGTATTTTGGTGGGTTCTTTTGGATAGTGAGGCTGACATATAAGAAAGAAAACCACACACTAATAGAGCATATACTAGTATATACATTCTCACTCAACTTTAGTCCACATAAATACTCACCAAGCAAGA